TGCATTGATATATAGTTAATTTGAAATTATCTTCCTTGACACTATAACAGAAGAGAAGAAAAGGAGTGTCCACTGTCAAAGATATGAGTTAAAGTCAAAATGAAGTTCCTACTCTATCTTGAAACCCTGTATTTTGAAATTGAGAAAAGGAAAAGTGCACCGGACATCCTCTTTCGAAGATATGAGTTAACATTGACATTTTGTTTTTATATTATTCTCCTCCTGCCTTGTGTGGTTCAATAAAGCAGAGTTCCAATCACATATTTTCCTCCATATACCTCTGTTCCCATCTCATTATGAGATACAAATATAATTTTGGATCAAACAATACATAGGTATAAGTAGAACTATTTACTTCTTTGTTGTTTTATGCTTAAATGTTCAACTCTTGATTTGTATATATATTAGCTTCTTTTATAATCACTCTTTACTGGTCGACGCAGGCCACATATTAACAATTTACTTCTTTGCTGTTCCAATTGAATGCACTCTTTTTTGCTGTTTCAGATTTAAAACACAAACACAAGAAAATAGAATAGGTGCTCTGAACTATTATAGATAGAGCTAATTGCAGAACTTTGATGCAAAACTTCAAACAAAGTTACCAAACTCTAATTAAGATTCATATTGCCTATTATCTCCATTACAAAGTACAAACAAATCATAGAGGCATAGATGATAGTGACGATGAAAATTAGAAAAATAGAATGACTTTTTTAGATTTTAAACACTAATACAGTAGAATTAGCTATGAACAGGCAGATACATTACTTAGACTTTTAGAAAGACCACTCTAAACTATTATTATTGAAAGATTTATCCCCAAGAGATTTCTAAATAAAAAGCACATTATAAGGAAAAAAAACAGAAAGTAAAAAAGCCGCTACCAAACAGAAAGCTCTCTCTCTCTCTCTCTATATATATATATATATATATATATATTATTATTTTTAACTTAATATGGTTTTTCGTTTGACACCACTTACATATATGTATATAATATTTTTAGAATGAAGATCATATAGTGTCCAATTGAAAGATCAAAATTAAAAATTACGTCTCCAATCAAATGTCTTTCTACCCAACCCAAGCTTAGGCTAAACAAAACTATCAAAATTTATAACTTTTGCTTCATACCTATTTTAGGAGATACTTCCCCATTTCTTAAAAGTTGCAACATTAGAATTTTTGCACTACTCACACACTTTACTTTGACCACGATTTTATATAAAAATATATACCAAAATTATGATGTATAAAATGTTATTAAATTTCTATTTATGTGAACTTTCAATTTTTTATTATATATTTTTCACTAATACGTAATTAGATATAATTACGGTCAAAGTTATTCGTTGGTAAACGTGAAAATCAAACTGTTGCAACTATTAAAGAACGGAAGATAGTATAAAATTTTGAATTTTTATAGCACATTCCCCTTTTCATTTTCCTAGCACTTTTCCCCTTTCCTAGCACTTTCCCCTTTTCACATAAAAATTTTGAATTTTTATGTGAACTTTCCCCTTTTCCTAGCACTTTTCGTAATATAAAGTTACCCCAAGCATTTATTTGGAAAGCGGAAAAACCTTGGGAAAGAAAAATTGGATATATTTGAAAGGAAATAAAATATTAGAGAAAATAAAACATTGGTTCAAGCTCAATATATTTATTTTTTATAAAATTGCGCACATCTGACCCCCCCCCCCCCTTACCCCTCTATAGGTAGGAGCCTTTGCGACATTGAGGTGATGATGATGATGAATTGTTCTAATATATACGAGTATATATTTATTTCTATTATAGAAATACTTAGGGCCTGTTTCCTAAAAGAAATATTTTCCAGTTTTCCAGAAAACTGGAAAACTGGAAAACAGAAAACAGGAAACGTGTTTACCAAAGAAATTCCTGGAAAACTGGAGAAAGGAAAAAAGAAAAACGCGTTTACTAAATCGTTTTCCAAAACGGAAAAAATGAAACATGTCTCTCTTTTCCTTAATGATTTGGAGAAGTGACTTTTACTAGTTTTCCAAATTTGGAAAACGCAGATGCTACAGTGCCTTTGCAATGAATTTGCATACTTACACCTAGTGGTGGGTCCGGTCCCGCTCCGATGTCGATTTCATTCCGGTACCTCCATCCTCGTACCTTACCCCTTACCCCTACCCTACCCTACCCACCCTACCCCCCACCCCGTGTACCCATTTTTCCCTATAATGACCTTACCCCACCCCCCACCACATGCCACGACCTCGGCCCCACCCCGATCCACTGTACCCTACCGCCACCCCCCTACCACCTCGACCCCACCCCGACCCACCCTACCCTACCCCCACCCCTCGTATATTACCACTTACCCCTACCTTACCCCTTACCACATGTCTCCTACCTCGGCCACACCCCACCGCCATCCTACCCCCACCCCACCCTACCCTACCTCGGCCCCACCCGGATCCCGGGCCCACCCTACCGCCATCCTATCCCAACTCCCTACCCTACCCCTACCTTACCCCAACCCCAAACCCTACCCACTACCCCCACCCTTACCGCCATCCTACCCCTTCCCTACCCCAACCCCACCCTGGTCCCGACCCCACCCTACCACCATCCTATCCCAACTCCCTACCCTTACCCCAACCCCAAACCCCACCCACTACCCCCACCCTTACCGCCATCCTACCCCCACCCTACCCCTTCCCTACCCCGGCCCCACCCCTGGTCCTGACCCCACCCTGCCGCCATCCTATCCCAACTCCCTACTCTACCCCTACCTTACCCCAACCCTACCCACTACCCCACCCACGACCCTAACCTACCCACTACCCCCACCCAACCCCTACCCCTAAACCTTACCACCCCACCCCGACCATACCCCTTACCCCACCCCCACCCATAACTTCCCTACCCGACCCCTACGAGTAGGTATGGGTGGGTATGAAGGGTTGTGGTGGAGTATGGGTAGAGTGTAAGATCATGGTACGGGTAAAGGTAGGGGTCAAGGGTGTGGAATTGGAGAACTATGTGAAAAAATTGATGAACATGTTTTCAAATTTGAAAATGGAAAACTAAAAAATAGAAACAGAAAATTGGAGATAGAAAAACTGAAAAATAAAAACAGAAAATTGGAGAACGAAAAACAGAAGTAGAAAACACGAAAATATCTCTGTTAGAATTCTAAACATTTGAAAAATAATAATCAAATTACATATTGCTTGGCATTCTCCTAACCCAACATAAGAGGATAACTTATTTTAACATTTTATAGCATTTCGAGGAACCAAAAATAGCCTAAGAAGAGCTGAATTCAGTGAAATGCAAAAAGCCATACTAAAAATTACACAGCTAAAACTTGGTGAAAAGCAAGACATAGAAGCAACAACAATAGCAACAACATCTAAGCATTATTCCCAAAAGATTTTGGGGTCAGCTAACATGAATCGATACATATCACATGAAACCTGAATAGAAGATGAGTAAATAATAAAAGATACTCTTGAGAGTCATCACATGAAACCTGAAGAGAGCAAAGACAAAACTGAGGTTATAATGTTGTAAGAAGGAAACAAATAACCTTAAGTGTAGCCAGAAACTGGATACTATCATAGCAACATGCATACATGAAACGTCTCATGCTTTCTACAACTAAATCATTTTCAGACATGGCATCCGCCCCTCCTTTTAGGCTTTGCATACTCTTTCCTGATAACGTAAAGGCCAAATGTGACTATATGCAACCACATTAAAGCATATCTTTTTATCATCCCCAAGAAAATTGTCCTCAAAAGATTTCTTTCTAACAGTTCAATTTAGTAGGCTTATATAGCACTAGTAGTAATAACACTCTTAAGTCAACTATAGTGAACTGAAAGACACAACTACAATAAATGCAGTGATCCACATTCCCCAATCACAGCTTTGTAGGAACTGGGCATAGACATTTACCTTTGGCTTCTAGTACGCGCTGCTTCTGAGAACGTGAAAGGCTCAAAATATCAAAGCGACAATCCAAGTCGATAAACATGACTGAGCGCTCCAAACCTCCATAATGCACGCCCTTCTATTCCTTTGGCAGAATACAATTGGTTGCAGCCTGAAATGCACTTGATCCTATCAGAATAACTCTCGCGCTTGGATTAATGCAATAGTCTAGTAAGAAGATACACAGATATGGACAAAGTCATTGCCTGTATGAGAATCCGGGTTTTGGCTGAAGGCGAAGGGCCGACTATCTCGACAACGCTGCCAGCGCGGAGGGGAATGCGGTGAAAAGGAGGTGTAAGAGGCAAGAAAGGTCGTTCCGTGAGAACGTGAGACAGGTACTGCTTTGCAGTTTCATCCGTTTCAATCCAATCTCTTGCGGACGACATCTTCTCTTTGCTCAATGGTTTCACAGCAACCAGAGCTTCACGCTTTAAGGTGCAATTTTTCCCACCACAATGAGAAGTCAATTTTAGATCGAGAAGGTAACTTATACTCCATATCTATTAGAGCATCTCCAATGGTATAATGTGCATGGTGCACATGTGGCATGAGTGATAACCACATAAATATTAGCAAATGAATTATCACTCTTCTTATTTGAATGATTTTATACAATTTTGATAAGTTTTTCCTTGCAATGTCAACAACAATGTCAACATTTAGACGGTCTCCTTGACATTGTGGAGAAAAACTTACCAAAACTGTATAAAATCATTTAAATAAGGAGAGAAAGAATTTATTTACTAATATTTATGTGGTCATCTCTCATGCCACGTGTGTACCGTGCACATTATAACATTGGAGATGCTCTTATGATGAAGATAGAATCCAACTATATAAATTTGATAACTGATAGAATTAATATAAAATTGATGAGTCATGTTACTTACATACATTTGTTTACACACTTGTTATATGCAGGGCCGGCCCAGGCCCATAATTTCGGAAGGCCCAAAAAAAGTACTAGTAGTAAGCCAGCCCAGGTACGAAATATGTGAAGAAATTAGAGAGAAGCGAAGAGCGGAAAACGGGAAGACCGGAAGAAGCCGCTCGAGTCTCGACTAAAACTTTGAAAGTCTGGAACGACCGAACCGCTTGTCACCGGCCCCAGCCCGCCGCCGCGACCCTCCTCCAGGACCGCACGTTTGTCGACTGTCCAGCGATGTCCACTCGTCCGCCGGTAAGCAACTAAGCGTATGAATCTCAGAATCTATTTATCTTTGATTTTCAGTTTTTTTTAATTGCAATTTGGAAATTACTGGAAATCTGAAATTAGTAATTAATTTGTTGCATTGTTGCTACTCCGTATCTTCTTTTTGTTTACTTCAGTTATTATTATTAAGTAATTGAATTGATTCTTTAAAAAAAAGTTATTGAATTGATAATAACTGTGTTTAACTGTTAAGATTTACAAATTGTTATACCGTATAAGTATGTAAGCATGTTAGTAATTAGGTAATTCTAGCCTTTGTGTTTGTAAATGATAATAATTAATTAATTTATTTTTATAGTCCTTCATGATTTCATACAAAATTTAGAATGAATTTTAGCTTAAAATTTATAATAATGTACAGAATACAAGAGAATAAAACATAATTGGTACCAATTATGTTTCCAAAGAAATACTCAGCCCATCACGAGAAGCTTAAAAGGAAAGAATTAAGCTCATTAGTAACTTGTAATTTAATGCAATTTACTTGTCTTGAACTTGGAAAAAAGGCCCAAATCTTGTTGTTGCACAGGGCCTCTAGTTACTCAGGACCGGCCCTGATTATATGCGTACAAGTTCTAAATGAATTGATTATGTCCTCATGCAATTAGGACTTACTACTTGCGTACAAGTTCTAAACGAATTGTTTATGTGCACTTGCAATTAGGACTTATTATATGCGTACAAGTTCTAAACGAAATGTCAATGTACACACGTAACTATGGGTGTACAAATAATGTGGTTTCTTCTGCTCTAAGCATCCTCACTAATGAGCATATTAGTTTATCTAAAACTAAAGAGTTTTTTCAAATATATTACTAATATAAAACATGTTTACTATAATATGACTAATTAGTACATGTAAACAGGGTAGTATTATAGCCACTTAAGTTTCAAAACCCACAACATTGTTTAACCCCATTTCATGTTGGTACGTATTTACCATAAGGAGGATTTTGGTAACAAGGTGATTGTTACCAATGAGGCTGTCAAGTTTATTACGGAGTATTATTCTTGGTTGTTATAGGGATGATATTCACTGGAGGCACAAGGGCGGAAGCAATAGATACACTGATCACCTTTTACGTTTATTCCTTTAGTCTAGTTGTTTAAGAGGTTTCCTACAATGTTCAAGTCCTCTTGTACGAAAACATGGGAGATGATTTAACATATTTCCTTATCTTTTAAATTTGCAAGTTTATTAAATGGTAGATGAAAGGAATAGACTAGAAATATTATTTTATGAAAGACTTTTGGTAACATTACTTGCCCGGAGGAACCAGTCCTGATTCTTTGAAACATAACTTCTTTGTTCACCAAAAACTAACTCTGTTATTTAGTCTTGATATATTACTCCTGACTTAAACATCTGTTGGGCCAAAATTTTCTTTCAGGATGCATATATGTGAAATATGGAATATATGTGTGTCAATAAGCATGATTGCTATTCATAAGAAAACTAAACAATCACCTTGTTACCAAAATCCTCCTTATGGTAAATACGTACCAACATGAAATGGGGTTAAACAAAGTTGTGGGTTTTGAAACTCAAGTGACTATAATACTACCCTGTTTACATGTACTAATTAGTCATATTATAGTAAACACGTTTTATATTAGTAATATATTTGAAAAAAACTCTTCAGTTTTAGATAACCTAATATGCTCATTAGTGAGGATGCTTAGAGCAGAAGAAACCACATTATTTGTACACCCATAGTTACGTGTGTACATTGACATTTCGTTTAGAACTTGTACGCATATAATACGTCCTAATTGCAAGTGCACACACACAATTCGTTTAGAACTTGTACGCATGTAGTAAGTCCTAATTGCATGTGGACATAAACAATTCATTTAGAACTTGTACGCATATAATATGCGTGTGTAAACAAATGTGTGTAAGTAACATGACTCATAAATTTTATATTAATTTTATCAATTTTATATAGTTGGATTCTATCTTAACCATAATAGATATGGAGTAAAAATTACCTTCTAGATCTAAAATTGACTTCTCATTGTGGTGAGAAAAATTGCACCTGAAAGCGCGAAGCTCTGGTTGCTGCGAAACCATTCAGCAAAGAGAAGATGTCGTCCGCAAGAGATTGGATTGAAACGGATGAAACCGCAAAGCAGTACCTGTCTCGGGTTCTCACAGAACGACCTTTCTTGCCTCTTACACCTCCTTTTCACCGCATTCCCCTCCGCGCTGGCAGCGTTGTCGAGATAGTCGGCCCTTCGCATTCAGCCAAGACCCAGATTCTCATACAGGCAATGACTCACTCTGTCCATATTTGTGTATCTTCTTACTAGACTATTGCATTAAACCAAGCGCAAGAGTTATTCGGATAGGATCAAGTGCATTTCAGGCTGCAATCAATTGTATTCTGCCCAAGGAATGGAAGGGCGTGCATTATGGAGGTTTAGAGCGCTCAGTCATGTTTATCGACTTGGATTGTCGCTTTGATATTTTGAGCCTTTCACGTTCACTGAAGCAGCGCGTACTAGATGCCATAGGTAAATGTCTATGCCCAGTTCCTACAAAGCTGTGATTGGGGAATGTGGATCACTGCATTTATTTTATTGTAGCTGTGTCTTTCAGTTCACGATAGTTGACTTAAGAGTGTTATTACTACTAGTGCTATATAAGCCTACTAAATTGAACTGTTAGAAAGAAATCTTTTGAGGACAATTTTCTGGGGGATGATAAAAAGTTATGCTTTAATGTTGTTGCATATAGTCACATTTGGCCTTTACGTTATCAGGAAAGAGTATGCAAAGCCTAAAAGGAGGGGCGGATGTCACGTCTGAAAATGATTTAGTTGTAGAAAGCATGAGACGTTTCATGTATGTCCGTTGCTATGATAGTATCCAGTTTCTGGCCACACTTAAGGTTAGTTGTTTCCTTGTTACAACATTATAACCTCAGTTTTGTCTTTGCTTTCTTCAGGTTTCATGCGAGGACTCTCAAGTGTATCTTTTATTATTTACTCATCTTCTATTCAGGTTTCATGTGATATGTATCGATTCATGTTAGCTGACCCCAAAATCTTTTGGGAATAATGCTTGGATATTGTTGTTATTGTTGTTGCTTCTATGTCTTGCTTTTCACCAAGTTTTAGCTGTGTATTTTTAGTATGGCTTTTTGCATTTCACTGAATTCAGCTCTTCTTAGGCTATTTTTGGTTCCTCGAAATGCTAGAAAATGTTAAAAGAAGTTATTCTCTTATTTTGGGTTAGGAGAATGCCAAGCAATAAGTAATTTGATTATTATTTTTCAAATGTTTAGAATTCTTAGTATTTCTATAATAGAAATAAATATATACTCCCTCCGTCCCAAAATGATAGTCCTGTATTTCCTTTTTGGGATGTCCCAAAATGATGGCCCTGTTTCCCTCTTTGGAAAGAAATATGTGGTCCACATCATTTCACCTTTTTCTACTCTAATCTCAACCATAACTTTTACCTTTTTAACCACTTTATTGAACTTTGTTCCCAAAAGAAATGAGACTATCAAATTGGGACGGAGAGAGTATGTATTAGAACAATTCATCATCATCATCATCACCCCAATGCCGCAAAGGCTCCTACCTATAGAGGGGTAAGGGGGGGGGGGTCAGATGTGCGCAAATTTATAAAAAATAAATCTATTGAGCTTTAATATTTTATTTCCTTTCAAATTTATCCAATTTTTCTTTCTCAAGGTTTTTCCCTTTCCAAATAAATGCTTGGGGTAACTTTTTATTACGAAAAGTGCTAGGGAAAGGGGAAAAGGTTAATGAAAGTTATTCTTTAATGCTTTGTTTGACTTTATAAATGCAAAGGAGAAATGGTTATTATTACTTTTTAATTTCATTGACATGTATTTAGGTTTCATAATTTCTATGTGATAGATAGACAAGACTAAATCACATGACTATCAAGTATCAACAAGTAAATGAAAAAAATATTCAGTTTTTAGTCAATGGTATATCCCCCCCCCCCACACGTTTTCTTTCATTTGCTTCTTTGCTTTCTCTCTATTTTCTTTCCCTAGTATTTTCCAAGTACCAGATGGACCCTCGATGTTCACGAAATCTGGAAAGAATCAAATATTTATTTTACACTCATGAACCAAATATTAGGTGTTCAGTGTTCCAAGACATTAACATGTTTAAATGTATTATTTATTTGATGGGCTTTTTGTGTAAATTTGCTTAAATAACCCATCTTTCTTATTTAAAATAGAGTTACCAGAATTGGATGTCACATTTTTTGTGGACAAAGCCGGACAAATTTGATTAATTAAATAAGTGCCGACTTGTGCACTGAATACATTTTTCCTAACTGTGTGTCTCTTCCTCTAGAGTGTTTTAGGGAATGTGGAACTGAAGGAGTTTGTGTAACTGAGGTTCATCTATGTATTTGTTGTAATATGTATTATACTTGTTGCATTATCTGAAATATAATACTCATTGTTTTTCTCCGTCCTTATTCATTGTAGACTATGCACAATCAACTTCAAAAGGGAAAAGAGGTGCATGGTGTTGGTGCTTATTTGCTGATTATTGACAGGTTTTCTCTAGTCTTGTCGCCTAATATTATATTTCCCTAGATTTCTTCATTTTGTCTTTTGATCTTAGGAGTTCTCTCGAATTGCACTTGGTATGTACGTGTTTCACTTGGGTTGTTTTTGATGTCCAATATTTGAGTTACCTTATCAATGGTTCCTAGTCTTGTATTACATGTTTGGCTCAACCTAGGAGCATAAGGCTTTAACAGAAAACATGGGTTCAAAGTACAATTGCTTCATAGTTTGCTCAATGAAATTCACATTTATTACCAATTTTGTTATCTAATAAATGAAAATATGAGAGCATGAATGATATCTAAACCAGATACAGAAATGGTAATGCCCAAGAAAAGTTACATCAAATCTAGCCAAGTTCATGAAACCAAACATCTGTTTCTGCTGGCCAACGCCATACACTAGTCTTCATTTTCTTTTCATCTCTTTTCATTTCTTTCGTTGGTAACTTCCTCTCTAAGTTTCAACCCACTATATATGTCCTCAACATCCCAAAGTATCATAAGAATTAACGAATAGGCACCATATGTCTGTTTCTCTCTACCACTTTGGAATTTTAACTAGGTAGTATGAGGATGAAGGTGGGCAGTTTAATAATGTATGTCTCAACGCTTTTTAAATCAGTATTGGAGCTTTTCACTGGATGGATCGGGCTCTTGCATTCATTCCACATGGGAGCAGCAACAGGTAATTACAATAGAACTTGGATTTTGACTCGTGTAAATTACCCCGCCCCCTAAAACCACCATTATCACCCAAGGGTGCTCATAGAATAATATGCGGATAGCTATAATAACCGTGTCATGCTTCCAAATGCCTTTGTTAGTGGATCAGGGACTTGGTAAAACACTGCTTTTGTAATCGCAGTTATGTGTTTTGTGGCAGTGAAGCACCAAGTTATCTGGCTATAATGTCATACTTTCAAATCTTGCTTCTCAGTAAGCAAATCATCATTATCAGAATCTTAATCCCAACTAGGTTGGGCCGGTGGCATTAACTTTATGTGCTAGTAATTTGTCTAAATAAATTAACACTAACTAATTCATGCAAAACCATAGTGGCAAAGCAATAATGAAGAGAGAATGAATATCATAAACATTAATTATCTTTCCTTCCATATTTTCTCAATGGCTGTTTTTTACTGTCATTACATAGTGAAGCTTGAGTAACCTGTAACCCACATGAATTCCTGAAGTATTTAATTGAATAAATCCATGACCTAAGTTCTCGCTCTGTAGGTTGAATACCTAAATGAAAAAGTTTCCCATTCATGTAATCATCTTGCCAAAGTGATGTATCCTAAAGCTTCTTGAAGTCATGTGGAACTTTTTCCTGTGATATGCTCTATTTAGAATGCAGATGCTACATGGTGGAACTCATTTCTATATTAATGTTGCCACTACTGCATTACTTTATCTTATATTGTAATTCTACATTTCACTTTTTGATTCTATATAGATTTTATCTTTGATGATTTTGCAATTATGTTTTTATATTAACTCAGAAAAAGTCTCTCTCTTCAAGGAGTATCAGAAGCTGTGGTTCAAGAAATTCAAAAGATTCTTCTGGCTCATCCAATGCTTGTCCTAAGTACCAAAACAGTGAATTTGGAGGATAAGTATACATCAAATGAAGTAGTAAGGTAGGAGTGTAGGACTTAAGAGGACACACGTTTTTTCTTGCTTAAATTAATTTTGTAAAGATGGCAAACCTTTGAACTATTGATTTAAAATCTGCATCATCAATGATTTTTATGTAGAGTGATATTAGTTGGGTTCAGAAGTATATGTATATTTATTATATTGCTACGTAGTTCATAAGGATGCAAGGTTAGTTATTCATATGTGTAATAGAAACCAAGATAAGTCACATGATTTAATGGAAGGAACTTGTTCTGCAATTATTTAATTGACAATGATGCAGCAGGGATAGCATAAAAGGCATTATTAGGTTGGACCACAATCTTTTGGCTAGGACTTAGGATTTGAGCCCAAGAGCCAATTTAATAAATGTAATTTTTATAAGAAAATATATGACGTAAATGTGCTGTAGTTCCATAATTGGACAATAGATTAGAAAGTGAATACAATGAAATATACAAATAGAGGGCAAGGCAGACCATGTACATGTTAGTGCTAGAATCTGGTATGAGCTTATTTGCCGAAGGGAGTATTACACCCTTTCTAGCATAATTTTGGTAGGTTTAGTGTTATTTTTATTTCTAAAATAGCTTTCAGGATTACATTCGCTTCATTTGATGATAGTCTAGTAAATTCAGACATGCATTTACAACTTGTTTGAATCAAGATCTCCATTAATTTGCTTTGAATGTTACTTGGGAGAAAAAATATTTCTCTTTACATCACGATCTTTGAACTCTTTTAACAGGAATGTTGAAAGATGGAATAATCAAAATCTACCATATCGTGAATATATGCCTTTAGTCTGGCAGGTAATGATCATTTTTCTGCTCTGGTAAGCGTCTTGAGGATATATACACATCACATTTCTCCTTAATAAGATATTATAATGTTCGGTTCTTTTGACCATTGTGCTAGCTAATCAAAGCCAACAGATAAATGAGCCATCCCACACATTTGGAACCATATGCTCTCCTACTTAAATAAGCAAGTTTCTTTGTGTCTGTATTAAGTTGTCTTGCTTGTCTAGAATTTTGGAGTGCCATATTAATGAATGCAGGGTGGATCTTGGTAACTGCTATTATTCACTTGGAGTTACCCCGAAACAAAATATTTCTCCTAAATTACATAAAAAATGAACTTTGCATTACATGCTCATGTTGTGCATGGAACTGCTAATAAACTACGTAGTGTATAATACTCCCTCCTTTCCAAAATACTTGTCCTGTTTCTTTTGGCCTCATTTCCGTGTATGGAAAAAACCTACCTAAAAAAGAAGCTATGATACATAGTTATAGTGTATATTACTGCTACAGTATCCCCCCACTTTTTAAATAATCCTACACACACTTTTACAAATTATGGTGGAGTCCCAAACAGGCATTCACTCTTGTAGCTTTTGGACATGTTTCTTTACTTGGCATCAATTGGTTTTGTACGGAACTAAAGCTAACAGGCATACCTTACTGTTGCAGTCCTTTGTTTCTCACAGAATGCTTGTGTACACTTCAGGTTTGCTTAAAAATATTTGGCATGTAAATTTTTCTTGTTTTGCCTATTTCCATTGTTACTGTTGAAAAATGAATCTTATAGTGTTCTAATTTTAAGGCGTAGATGATAATTGCAAGAATAAAAGCCGACCTACTTATTTTATAGAGTGGCTGTTACCATCTCTGCACAAACCAGAAAGGTTTACCATCAACGATGTATGTTGAATCTCTCTTGAAATAATAAACCTATCTATGAATTGTCAATTATCAGACTGCCCAAATTGTCAGTGGTGTATTTTCTATGATGCAGAATGGTGTATTTTCTACATGATTGACTGATTGTATGAATCCAGAGTGCAGAATCAATAATAAGCTCTGATTCAGGAGGAGTGCCTCTAGTGGGTAAGTCAAAACATTAATTAGAAGTGCAATTTTATTTCACAAATGGCCATTAAGGCCATGCATCCTGGTAATCCGGCCTCCTATAATGTAAATTGCTTTGATCATTGATGGTGGCTTTAGTCCCAAACGCGCATGTGGCATGCGCGCGCACTCAAATGCTTACCAACCACATTGCATTTATGTTGATGCAGGAACTAGTGTTCCTACCACTCTACAACTTGATAATGGCTGCTTCAGTTTTAAAGGAGATTTTGTGGTGAGTATTCGTGAATCATGATGCCTTAATATTCAGAGAGATGTTTATAATTAGTTTAGACTCTGCTGTTCACAATTTTCGGCTAGTTGACTCCATCCCTCATTCCCAACAATCATTTTGTGTATTTGGTTTGCTAATTTGTTGTGCATTTCTCTTTTTTTTTTTGTTTGAGTGAAGGAAAAGTTGAACCGATGAAAATGAAAAAATGTTTCAACATTTTTCCCAAAAATGTTGAAAAATGTTTCAATTTTTGTTTCAATGTTGGAAGCCTTAATAAAGTTCTCTAAACATTTCAGTGATGAACCGATGAAAAAATGAATGACGGCACGATCTGGTCGTGAGGAGGGGTGTTAAATGTCCCACACCGGAAAAAGTATCGATGAAACAAGTGCTATATTAAGCTCTGGGCTACTCCTCCTAAAAGGTTGACCTTTTAGGATGAAACCCCAGATCTTAACAGAGGACTATTTTAACTATTTGTTCGCATAATTTTTTTCTTAATTCTATTAATAAAAGCGGTTTCTTCTAAAATATTACTAATGAAAAAATTGTAGAAAAAAATGTGACTATAAGTTAGGATGTTTTCCAGACCAGTTCAGACTAGATCAGACCAGACTTAAACAGACCAGACCAAACTAGCAAATTCCAGTCCAGAAAACATCCTTAGTATGTGTATTGTCTCTATAAAAGTGTATGCAAAACATTGTGTGTAGCTATCATCTTTCAAACTAATATTAAAACAGAAGAGTTTTGGATGACACAATTTTATTTTACTACTTTACGCTATGAGGAAGCACTAGGATTAGCTAAATTGATTGAATTTGTTGAAATTAATGAAATTTTGGTAAAAGTAACGATCGATTGAACTATAAAAAATTATATTTAATACGGAGTATATTTTACTATTACAAAAAAGAAAAAATTATAAGAAAAAGTAATTAAAACGATCCTCTACAGTAATTTTAGTCAATTCTTATATATTCCGATTGTCACACTTTAGCAAACAAATACAAAAATCACATATTTGATAAAAATGATACGGAGTAATTAAGGTAAATAATTTGAAAATAGAGGTTATCAAACAAATTGTTAGTTTTTACTGACATCTAAAATAATATATCACTGTCTTTAATATATAAAGTAGTCAAGTTATTGTTCGTATTGTTTAGTTTCTCCTTCTAAACTTGATCATTATTCATATTCATATATTCAAAACTTGAATAGAGCAAATGGACTATTAGTGTAAATAGTGCCCTTATATTTCAACACACTAAGTCACCAACCAAGTTTAGCTGATGCTCATACGATTTCCCTTTTGGTGATTTGATTGGAAATTGAATTCCACATCCTTTTCGACCCCACTTCAAGATTTGATTGATAAATCATAATTTAAATCCAGACAATGAAATCATACAGGGGATTCATTTATTGGAACTAACCCCTTCACTTTCTTGAATCAACACAGGCCATTATTGGAGAATATACTATGAGCCCGTTTGGAGAACTCTGTTTTCGGCTTATCAGGCTTATCAGCCAGCTTTTTCACCAAACACGTAACTTTTACTTTCGCGCGCTGAATTGTGTAATAAGCCGAAAAAGTAAGGTTGGAGTTACTTTTCTTGCTGTATTGGCTGAAGTTACTGTAGAGGACCATTTTAGCTATTTTTACATATAATTTTTTCTTTAATTTATTAATAAAATATATTTTTAAAATATTTTTTTCTTATATCAGCAGAATCAGCCAAAACAGCCACTCCAGCCAGAATATCATAAATTTCAGCAGAATCAGCCAAAACAGCCGATTTTGGTGCTACCAAACGGGCTCTATACTGCCATCCCAATTCCAAATCTTAATCTTGACCTATGTATCTCTGTTGCGTTCATCTTTGGCTTGCTAGCTTCATCATGTGCTAACAATAATGGCTACTTATAATGTGTTTTTTTGTTGTTGATGTGATTATTCAATAACAAAAATGTATATGTACATCATACTGTCCTAGTCATGTTTATGTATTTTAATGAGGTTCGTTTGGCTCCTTACAAGGAGTTGAATGTTCTTTAAATTTGCTTTATTTTATTTTTGTGAGTTTTGGGAAAACACTTATGTTACACGGGTACGGGTACGCTGATATGCCAATACGCGAATACGGATACAACAATATGGCAACTTCAAAAGCTATAGGACACGGGCACTTATGGGGTATATTTATAAATAACAATAATATAGAGTATTATTTGCAAATATATACAGTTCAAAGATTCATAATAAAATAATAATAATAATAATTATAATGATAATAATAATAGTACAAAATATTAACAATTGTAATAACATTTCAAGGATTAGACTAATAATAAAGCTAAATTATTGATATTTCGATTTAACTTCAAACAATATTTGATTCACATGTGTATTTACATCTTAAGTTTAACAAGACCGTTCAATTAAAGTTCATGATAGATTGACAATTTCAAGCATTTCAATATCTTACATTCTTACATACTCCCGAAATCATCTTACGGTCTTACCCAATATTGCACATCTTGTGGTCGCTTGGGCGTAGGTCGAGACTCGGGCCGGGTGGCCTGACCCGGAACTGGCACTGTTCCGGCCCGGTGGCTCGGTCAGTGACCGGTCTGGGTAGGCCCGACCCGCAGGGGTTCCGGTCCGGGCTCGGGACCTTCAAATGGCGAACCGGCCCGACCGGGCTGGGCTTGGTTTCGGGCCGTTTTTTTTTTCAATTTTTTTTTTTTTCAATTTTTTTTTTTTTTTTTTTACTTTCAGGTTGGGCTGGGTATTTTGGGCCATTTGGGGTGGTTTGGGGGTGAGGGGGTGGGGGGTTAACTAGGAAAAGGAAAAAAATACAAATACCCGAGGCCCGACCCTGCCCGGACCTGGGGATTACCCGGGCCGGTCCCGGGCCCCCATTCAAGAACTGCCGGTCCGACTGGGCCTAGACCCGTCCCGGGCCCGAACGGCCGAACCGGCCCGAGTCCAATCATACTTGGGCGGGTACTATATTCTCGTTAGATCGTACGTGTTCACGGATACTTGTATCGAAAGTATTTATATTTTTAAAAATAAGTTCAATACTTTTGTAAAATTACAGATACAGACCTAATACGTACAGAACGCTATTGGTGAGTATTGATATTGGATACGTATCGGGTACGCGGATACGACATCGATGTGAAGTATCGATGCATCATAGGAACACAACAAATTCAAACCGAATCAAATCTCACTAAGAGCCCGTTTGGTAGCCCTATTTTTCTGGCTAATCAGACTTATCACCCAATTTTTCACCAAACACGTAACTTTTGATTTCACGCGCTGAATTGTGTAATACTCGATAATAAGAAAAAGTAAGGTTGAAGTTAATTTTATGGTTGTATTGGCTAAAGTTACTATTTTGTTTTAATATAAAGGATCAGCTTTTATATTTGATGATAGAGTATATGAGTTCGGACCTCATGACACACATACTCAAGGGATTAAACACAGAAGACTGGCACCCACGTGGCACTTCGTCGGCCAGATGGCATTCCATTGGCCAAAACATAAGTACTCAGAATATAGCCTCGAAGCCCAGGAGTGAAATTGATCCTCCGTCGGCCAGGCACTCTATTGACCTGGTCATCCGTCGGCTAGAAGCCTAGAAATACTCTGGTAGAATGAGATTTTATACTTAGTCAAATAAATCAAGTACTCAGCTCATTAGAGACCTTATTATTGTAATGGGCCTCCTAAGCCCAAGGCGATAGAGAGAGAAAAGAAAAGTGCGAGTACAGAGAAGGGGAAGGAGGTTCCTTTGAGTAGTTTCCCCGTTTACCACAGAATTAAACCCTAGCTTTGGCGTTGTAAGGCCGCCTTTACCCTTGCAAAGTGCTCTCTGGCTTCTTTATCTTGAATGACCACATCTGAAACCAGCTCCATTTTGCTCTCGCTGTTGTGAGTTTGAATGAAAGCGAGGAAACATATGTAGCATGCATATACCCTGCCATTGTTTAATATGAAATTGATGTTATTGGCAAACCTTGGAGCTCATTTCCCAAGAAAGTTTTGAACTTTTCTTGTTGGGGATCGAAGGCATTAATTTGAGTTGGTTGGGGCCTGGGGGAGGGGCATGGCGAGGTGAGTGTGGAGGGAGGGGTATGAAGTGGAAAGACCTTTTACTTTGCCCTGCTGTTTTATGCTGAATGAGAAGATGGCAACCTTTGTCCGGTGGCTTTGTTGAAAGAGATAAATACGATGATCCTGGATGGAAGTAAATCTTAGTGAATTACTCTTTGTGGTTGTAGACTTGTAGTAGCTTTAGCATTGGCGAAGTGGAAAATGTAGGGCATTTCCATGATGCTAACTATGGGTTCCTTCATATAAGTATAGTTCTTTTAACAAAGTTATCTACATTAAGTAGGTGATCTGTGAAACCTAAAGCTGAATTTTTAGAGGTTTCATGATTTTGGGGGTTAGGAGCCCCATTTTCGTATAGGTGTGCTGTGTGCATTTAAACAACATATCTTCCCTGTATTTCGAGGTTTGTAGCCAAAGATTTGCACTGGAGTGGCTAGGGACTTTCGGAGCTGTGATCATGTCTTCCTTGAGGTTTGTAAGTAAGTCATTTTTGACTTCACTGCGTTTGATGCACACAGAATTGCACTTTGGATTTTATTGTTAGTTGTAAATGTGTATATTGGCACGCGCGAGGTGGCTTCCATGGCAGCACAACGGGCATAATTTTCAAACACTCTTCATCCTTTTTTGGATTTTTCATACGCTTAACTCCTATTTTGAGCAACTTTGTATAAAATTTTAGGTTATATGTAGGGATAGCCTAGTAGGATTGGGGTTGATGGGGGGCAAACATACACACCTAAAGATTTATGTTACACAAAATACATTGGACATTTTTTCCATCGCGCATCGCGCGTTACAAAAACTAGTCACTAAATACAAGAATAATAAAACTCACTTCCAATTGTATTATGATGATTTTGAATAAAAATTTTAGTGAAGAATTTGAGCACGTCATAGTTTAATACTAGTGCCATGATAAAAATTTGAGAATGTGGAGCATATATTATTGAGAATTATTTATCATTATTATTTATATATTGTATTAGTCATATATATGTTGTACGCCTCTATTATTTAGATTAGGAAGATGCATGTCACATGCATGTGTAGCATTCCCGTACTCAATAATTGCTGACTCATTTCCCTTGAATTGTGCATATATATACATGCACTCCAGCACTCGTATGATGTAATATAGTAAGGAGTTTATCCTGCTGCCAACTTCGTTCTCTTTCAATAGTTTTTATCATTTTCTTTCACCTTATACGGTAGTATTAATTTTATCATATATTACAATAAGATTACAACAAACAATCATCTGGCAAATGTAGGGCAATGTTCAAGGTGATTGAACGTTGAACCAAGATAATGCAAGCTATGACAATATCTATGAACAAATATATCTGATATTCTGCTTATACCATTAGGACAATGCCCAAACAAAAAAGGATCAGAGTCAAAGCCAAAATGCATTGAAATTTAACCCTCTTTCCATAGTAATAAATACTGCGTAATTGTTTTGAGATAGTAGTGGACTTTAGAGTTGAAAGTATGGATAGTTTAGAATTTTCGAAGTATACCCCCTTAATTTCAATTTAATTCCGCCATTTGCAATGGAACCAAAGACTCACTATTTTTTTTTGCTTGGGAAGACGATGGAATAAAGCAAATTGGCTCACTAAATTGTCTGCGCTTCTTTGTTGTAAAGTAGTAGTCAGTCCATGCAAATTCTGACGCGATTTTCATTATGGGTCATCCTGAAACAGACTCTCAATGCTTTAGTACAGGGGTGGGAGCCGTTGGGGCACTGAGGTAATGATAATGATGATAATGACCCCCTTAACTTCAGAAATCTGCAACTAGACTTTCTCTGAGCCAACAGGTGTTACACAGCTAAACATTCAAGTCAAGAACTTAATGCAATCTTCTTCAACTTTTCCTTCATTGAAAAAAAAGAGAAATGCACAACAAATTAGCAAACCAAATACACATTGGGTTTGTTGGGAATGAGGGGATGGAATCAACTAGCCGAAAATTGTGAATAATAGCAGTTACCAAGATCCATCTTGCATTCATTAATATGGCACTCCAAAATTCTAGACAAGCAAGACAACTTAATACAGACACAAAGAAACTTGCTTATTTAAGTAGGAGAGCATATGGTTCCAAATGTGTGGGAGGGCTCATTTATTTGTTGGCTTTGATTAGTAGAAATGTGATGTGTATATATCCTCAAGACGCTTACCAGAGCAGAAAAATGATCATTACTTGCCAGTTTAAAGGCATATATTCACGATATGGTAGATTTTGATGATTCCATCTTTCAACATTCCTGTTGAAAGAGTTCAAAGATCGTGATGTAAAGAGAAATATTTTTTCTCCCAAGTAACATTCAAAGCAAATTAATGGAGATCTTTATTCAAACAAGTTGATTCAAATTTACTAGACTATCATCAAATGAAGTGAACGTAATCCTGAAAGCTATTTTAGAAATAAAGATAACACTAAACCTACCAAAATTATGCTAGAAAGGGCGTAATACTCCCTCCGGCCAATAAGCTCATACCAGATTCTAGCACTAACATGTACATGGTCTGCCTTGCCCTCTATTTGTATATTTCATTGTATTCACTTTCTAATCTGTTGTCCAATTATGAAACTATAGCACATTTACGTCATATATTTTCTTATAAAAATTACATTTATTAATTTGGCTCTTGGGCTCAAATCCCATAGGTAGATAGGCTACACTGTACCTCCTAAGTCCTAGCCAAAAGATTGTGGTCCAACCTAATAACGCCTTTTATGCTATCCCTGCTGCATCATTGTCAATTAAATAATTGCAGAACAAGTTTCTTCAATTAAATCATGTGGTCCAACCTATTATTATATTAGTATTATTTTTTCTCATAATTATTATAATTTTTATCCTTTTTTATGCTATTCTTGATCGTTGATGTACTTT